AATGAAGCTCACCATCTCAAATCCCCCTGCAACTCAGACTAACCTGAGCACAACAAAGCCCCCACCCAAACAGAACACTCCCCCATCCAATCAGAGCACAGCCAACCCCCCATCCAATCAGAGCACAGCCAAGCTCCTTAACCAATCAGAACACACCTCCATCCAATCAGAACACAGCCAAGCTCCCACCCAATCAGCTCAAACCCCACTGCCAGTTAAAAGGAAGAAACAACTGCGATCACACACACTACTCCCAGAAGCACGAAGCTGAAGACACCAGCCTGAAGATGACGAATGTGACTTCGTCGAAACGTCGCCAGGACACTTCCAATTCTACACGGGAGAAAACCCGAATGACCAAAGACCTACATACAAACACCCGTGAAAACCTCAGAAAACATATATATATATATACTAAATCCATTAAGTAATTAATTAGAAAGGGAGAAGAAAGATAGAGGGAAGGAATGTCAGAAGTTTGTCTACATAAAGTTTGCCTTAAATGTGAGAATATTATTTCCTTTATTATCAAGGGCCAGTGGTAAGGAAACAATTCTTCCCCAGTATTAGGTACTAATAACTAGCTTTTTGAAAAATAAGCAATGTACTCTGTTTCAACACTGTTTCCAAATGACCATCAGCAAACACCCTTCACTCTGTTCTTAAGATCTATTTTGTTGCTTTGGAAATAACAGTGCCATAACTTGCCAAGAAACAAGGATAAAATCAGAGCACATCAGTAGCCTTTATGTGTTACCTTGAACTTGTTACAGTATTGAATCTGTTGTGTACTTTTTATGTATCTGTAGAAAAAGAGATCCAACAGTTTCTGGTGAAAGGAAAAATGGAATATGGGGTATAAAAAATTTTAAAAAAAGAAAGCACATAAGATTTGGTGCAACTCTGAGTCTTACAAGGAACTTGCAGAGTTCTTTATCTTTGTAAAATTTGTATAGAGGTAGACACATTTCCAATGATGTTATTCATCTTAGTTTTTTCATGGCAGTCATGGGGTTTGGAAAACAAAGGTTTCTTTGCCCTTGACACACAGACAACTTTTTTCAATTAAGCACTTTCTAGGTGCCGTTTGAAATTATTTTTATGTGGGAAAGTTTGATAGTTGTGGGGTGGTTGCAAACCTTTCTGTATCCAACAATTCCCTATGCATAATGTGTTTTTTTTTAAGAAACAAGGATGAAAAGGTGGCCCCTATATATGGTGAAGTACAGGCAAAATTGTCAGATTAGCAGATGAGAGGAACATTTCATCTGCTAATCTGTGGATAGTGAATGAAGACTAAACTCTTCTGATAAGATCCAAACTTGTTCAAAACAAACTTGGAATATGAGCTGAAAATGCAAAATTCTTCACATAGGAAAAAATAAATCAAACATATTAGCATGTGAAATAACTAGCTTTGCAACAATAACTCTAAAAAGGATATTGGGATTATAGTTAATCATAAATTGAACATGAAGATGACTTGGCTGTAAAACAGCGAATATAGTTAGCATTAATAGAACATTGTTTCCAGATTAAGGGAAATATTTTATTTTTCTATTTAGCATTTGCTTAATCTCAGCTCAGGTGTTGAATTCAATTTTTGACACAGTGTTTGGAAAGGACAAAGACCAATAAAATTGGGTATATTCATATTTTTGGAGATTATCAGTCAAAAGAAGACCATGGCTTGTTTCCTGTTGTCTCAAGGTAGATGACACAGATTAATGGTCTTATTCTAGGGGAACGCTAAGGAGAATACCCTTTATATAACAGCAGTTTGATGACAGAATCAAATACTTAGAGAGACAGTTGTTCTGTTCATTGGATGTAGTCAAAGCAAAGGCTTTCCAGTCGTGTCTTAAGGGTACTTTACACGATTCCTACCCCAAGGAGAGTTGGAATTGAAAGCCTAAATCAGGGGTCTTCAAACTTGGCCCTTTTATGACTTGTGAACTTCAGCTCCCAGAATTCCTCAGCCAGGGTGCCTGGCTGAGGAATTCTGGGAGCTGAAGTACACAAATCATAAAAGGGCCAAGTTTGAAGATCCTTGGCCTAAATTGTCTTTTCCAGATCTATGATTTTATGATTCATTATTGATGAACTACAACTCCCAACGGCCATAGCTAGTGTTACCAAAGGTGAAAGTTGCAGAAACAAGCATTGGGAAGCTGGTCCATAGTCTTATCTCTGAGGTTGATTAAGTAATTTGAATCAGGAGGCCTACGATATTAGTTTCAACTATCATGCAAGTTTTAATTTGAGTGCCTTTTTTCTTCATGAAGCCTTATCTGTGACGAGCTTGGGTAGGACCATGAAAATCTGTAGTAATTAACTTGTACTTTCAAATGTGCATTTTACTTTAATCTAAGCAATGCAGTTGTGTAATTTTAGAATAGAACAGAACAGAATAGAATAGAACTAGAAAGTACCCTGGAGGTCTTCTAGTCCAGCCCCCTGCTCAAGCAGGAGAACTTACACCATCTCAGACAGGTGATTGTCTAGTCTCTTTTAAAAAATCTCCAGTGATGGAGCACCCATGATTTCTGGAGATAAGTTGTTCCACTGGTTAATTGTCCTCACTGTTAGGAAGTTTCTCCTTAATTCCAGGTTGCTTCTCTCCTTGATCAGTTTCCAACTATTATTTCTTGTCCTTCCCTCTGGTGCTTTGGTGAACAACCTGACCCCTCCTGCCTTGTGGCAGCCCCTCAGATACTGGAACACTGGACCCATACCAGTCGGGCTTCAGGCCGGGACACAGCACGGAAACGGCATTGGTCGCGTTGGTTAATGATCTCTGGAGGGCCCGGGACAGAGGTTATTCCTCTGTCCTTGTTCTTTTGGACCTCTCAGCGGCTTTTGATACTGTAGACCACGGTATCATGCTGCGGCGTCTCGGTGGGTTAGGAGTGGGAGGCACCG